AGAAACTTTCTTCCTTTCCCTTTTTAGTGTAACTTACCTTTCTCCCTACACCTTTACCTTTGTTTTTTGCTGTTCTAGCAAAGTATATTCTGTCCTGCTGGTGTGCAGCTGATTCCATTGTATACCTAGTTTCATGATAATAAACTCGCAAGTGACTATTATTGCTGTTGTGGCACTGCAAAAATTAGTGCTTATAAAGCGGCCCTGTGACCATGTAAGACTACATTTCCATAGTGTATTCACTTTGTCTTAAAGCAGGTGATAATATCCCAAAGTTAAATGACTAAGTGTTCTCACATTAGTCTTGTGTTTCCTGATTGAAAGATACAGTAGTGTGTCCCTTGCGGTGAAAGATGACTGGTTAGTAGCAGAGTACGTATTCTCCTCCAGAGCTGCCTTGCTTACGGACTAAAAAGTATATCCTCATCTCTTCCGGTCCTCCAGTCACAAATATTATGTGTCACATACAAAATGCCATAATACTTTTCTTGATTGTATCTCTTGCCCTGATGTTTTAGTGTATTTTGTGGATGCTTAGTTAAGGAAACTTAACTTTGCTGCAAGTTCCATTGGAAGTAGCTTTCTTTAGTTTGGGGTTTTACTGAGCGAACACCAGGTTTACATAATTACACATTTTCAATAGAAGATAAACCTTAGTTTTTTTGTTCTTTGGACTTTAAAGTTGCGTGAAATTGGATACTCTTGAGCCTTGTGAAGATTTAGACTCTCCTGTGAATGAGGAAAGTGAAGAAGAAAAGGAAGAAATAGTAACTGTAGTTGTTGAGGAACCAAAAGAAAAATGGGATTGTGAATCCATTTTGAGTAAGTATTTTGGAGTTCTCTTGTGTCTTCCTAGGATTTCAAAGTAAACAATAGGTGATCTCAGAACTTTTCTGGCAGTGCTTTAGATAAAATACTTAACGCTTGTGAATTTTCAAGGGCTAAGTAGTAACACAATTCATAATAAATCTACCTAAAGTCTGTTTGCAAGCCTTCACTACTATTTCTTTTTGTGACCTAGGTACATACTCAAACTTATATAATCACCCAACACTTATTAAGGAGCCATCAAAGGTAAGATCATCAAACTTATTCTGAGTAATATCCTGGCCTGGAAAAATTTGAGACCAAAATGATTGTTTTTTCAATGGATATCTGTTTTTAAAAGAAGGAGTAGAGAAGAGGGTTGGGAGGGTGTTAACTTTGATACTACCTCTGTACTGAAGAAGTGTTTGGGTATATTTTTTCTATTAGTGAAAGGAAAATAGCTTAAGTTCAAAATTTCTGTAATAGCAGGACAGAAGTGCAGGGTGCGGAGTTGACTTTCTTGTTACCTGTGATATGCGCGTGTGTAATCTGTGTCTCACAAGCACACATTGCTTGTTTTTTTTTCTTGAAAATACACTTTAATTTCCCTGCTACAGTTTGAAACAATTTCTTCTAGTTCTTTTGGTCTTCTAGACATTCCCCATCATTGGAACATAGCTTGATCTTTGAAACTGTGAAAGGAAACCTTTTCTGTGGAAGTTTCTAAAGGAATGTTAAGTGCCTTTAGTAATATTTAAATAAAAGATTATGTATTTTTTTTTCTTATTCTGGGATGCCAGATTCTCTTCACAGGTTGATTTCTTTCTTAGGGATTAATGTGCGTTTTTCTGAGGGAAGAAAATAGTGTGAGGAAACTTCCATGTTTATTACTGTTAAATCTGTATCTAATGTTTTTATACTGATAAGGCAGTGTGGTGTGCATTCCTTGCAGACAGAGCTGGGGGCCATTCATACATAATCTGCTCTCTATTTTAGCCCAAACCCATAAAAATTTCCCAGAAGACTGGAATTCCTCTACACATCTTGCCTCAGAAACGTCTTACTGCTAAGCAGATTGAACGCATGCAAATGATTAATGGCAGCGACTTGCCAAGAGCATCAACACAGCCCCGTTCCAAAGATGAGAGCAAAGAGGATCGCAGAGCTAGAAAACAGGCAATAAAAGAGGAGCGAAAGGTATGCTTTGTTTTAAATAAGAACCTGCAAAAACGTGTTACATTATCTGAATTCTGTCTCACAAACTTTTTTAAAGCTCACTTGTTCTTGTGCCTGGAAATCAGTGGGAAAGACTTGCTGGTCTCAAAAGACTGGTTACTGCTTCTTTAAAATATCCACTGGAAAGAAAGTTAACATCATCATTTTGTCATCCTAATTTTGGGACTGCTATATATGTAATTGTGGCCACAATAACACTGGAAGGAGCCCTTGCATTTAATTTTCTAGGGAGGCAAAGGAAACAGTTGTGATGTTTCAGATCACACAAAGTAAAAAAGCTCTGAAAGAAATGTGGGAAATCTGATTTGCCACTATGAGATACTAGTTGTTTTATTTAGGAACAGAAATTGCCAGCATATCAGAAGCTTCAGCTGGTTAAAGATGGTAATCTTCGTGGTATATGATTTGACTGCTAATAATGAGTGCCATAAATAATATTATTGTCCAGATTGCTGCTGGTTTCATGATCTAGAACTGTTAATTTGAATGGTTTCTTCTTGCATGTCATGCCTATTTTCTAAATGTGTAATTATTGATACGCACAGGAGCGCAGGATGGAAAAGAAAGCCAACAAGCTAGCCTTCAAGTTGGAGAAAACTAGGCAAGAGAAAGAGTTGCTCAATCTGAAACAGAACGTTCAAGGACTGAAGCTGTCTTGATGAAACTGAGGAACTTTCTTTGGAAACAACCTCAAGTTTTCATTTGTATTGAGAAGGGAACTGCTAACTTGTAGCTTTGCCAGTCATGCTCCAAGGGGGTTATTCACATGCTACTGTAACAAGAACCAGTAACTTGTTATTCTTTCTGAAATGCAGTTATGCATAAAACCATCTAAGTGATGTCTGTTCTGTCGTGAGTGACCTGGTAACTTTTGCAGAGTTTCATTAAAATAGAAAGGTATTAAAATTATAAGAAATGTATTTTTCTTACAAACTATCACTGGACAAAGTTTTATATACATATTTGTATATGTATTCAACAAATCAGCAGAATCTTACTGATCTATCTGGTTAAATTCTTCTATTAAATTATCTCAGTTTACAAAGCAATATATTTGTGTTTCTTCTCTCCCTTATGCTTAAATACAGCAGAAGGACTGATGAGGCCTCTTAATGTACAGAAACAGTTCAAAGTACTTGTTTTTATTGGAGAAGGCTTTTATAATATATTGATAAAGTAACATGATTTTAGTGAAGGGAATGAACAGGCATGGCAAGGGGGGTTAGAACTAGATGATCTTAAGGTCCTTTCCAACCCTAACTATTTTATGATTCTATGATTCTATTTAAAAATCTCTTGGTCACTGCTCAGGAAATTGAAGTGTCGATGGAGTTTTCACATCTGGATTAAGCATTTTCTAAAATTGTCAAAGAGAGTGTGTTAACCAAATCAGTAAGAAGCACCTGTAAGATTAGAACAAGTTTTCATTTAGCCAATACCTGCACTAGTTTTCATGTGCTTCACAGGCTTAAAGAAGGTCTGCCTGTGTCATAATTGTTAATTACGTAATGCTGATGTGTGGTAATGTAGAATAGCAAGCTCTTGAGTAAAGAAGACACCAGCTAGTACTCATGGCTCCTGACAGCAACACAGAAGAGGACATCTGAGAAACCATTCTATTGAGATGAGTCAGATATCAGGTAAGTAGTTAAATGGAAATGGAATGAGTAACAGATGCTGCTCAGTGTTTTGGGTGGCATGTGGTTCTGTGACTTACAGAAAAAGAGAGCCTTTAATAAGGACAGTGCACATGTTCTTTACTAGTCCTTAACTCATCTGCTGTGCTACGTGTCTAAAGTAACTAATCTGTGGTGAATTATCCTTTTCCCTGACTTCTCATTGCTTATACCCTGATAACTGTGTTCATGCCTAAGTTCCCTCTTTTTTCAAAAAAAAAAAACGAACAGAACAACAGAGTAAGCTGTATCAGCCAAATCCTTGAGGGGATGAGAACAGAATAAAGGGTGGGGGACGCAGAGGAAGACACTTGAAAGAAAGATGATATTCCAGACTAAGCACAGAAAGATGTTGCTGGGGAACAAAAGTGAAAAGACATTTAAACGGAGTAAGCCTCAGAAAGGTTATAGAATTGCTTTGTTTCTCTACACTTGTCATCAATGAAACACTGTAGTAACCTTAACTTGGTGCCTTGGAATATGGTAAAATCTGAAGGAAAAGGAAAGAAACAAAAGCAGTCACACATCTCATCAGTAAGACAAGGTTTCTTTTGTCTCAGCAAGAGCAGGTAAGGAACACTGAACATTTGAAGTCTTTCTCTCTGTAGGTTGCACACCTTGTGAAAAGGGATCTTAGTTATTGTTGAAGTTTTCCTGAAAGCTGGTTTTGTTTAATACAAGTCATGTCCCTGCTCTGAAATGAGAGTATGTGACTGCCATTGGAGTCAGAAAGGCTTTAAATCTACTTTCTTTGTAACTTAAAAACCTTTTAATTATTTTTTTCCAGAAAAAAATTGATTAAAAAAAAAAAATCCCCACAAATTTGACATCTACAAACTAAGATAATCTTGGAATGCTGTCTGGCATGTTATGGAAACTTCTGTCTTAAGAATGAGGATTGCATCACACTTAATGTGACACCTACAGCTTTCTGGAATAGCAACAGTTTACGCCAAGCCATTGCTGGGTATTGCTGGCTCCTGATGAACTGGGATAAATAGAGGTGCAAGTCACCTGCTCTAGCTTTCCAGCAGCCCTCCTCCCTGAATTCATGCAGCAAGGAACTAGAGTACTCTTCCATCATCTCATCCAACCATGATGTCATTGTGAAAGGACGTACCTGAGCAGTCATGTGGAAAACAGCTGTCCACTGTAGTAAAGGTGAGCTTGTGCATCATAGGAGCAAAGTAAATCAGGTAACTGAAAGGGAGCCCTGGCAGATGACAGGACATGTCCCTTTTGACAGTGAAATACTGTTGCAGCAAGGGCTCAGGCCAAATGCTGACTCTGCTCTAGTCTGGCCATCTTGTACTGTGTAACTGAGACTCTTGCACGGTTTGCATTTCACGCAGTTGCCCGAAGTCAAGATCTGGCTCCTTGCAGAACCTGTGGAAGATGTTTTGCACAAGATGTCCTGGTAATTTAGTTTTTTTTAATGGGTCTGTTTATGAGGAATGTTGAGTTCAGCTGAAGGGTGGTGAGCACTGGGCAAGGAGGAGGTGGCTGCAAGTAGAGAAATGGGTTAAATGCATGTTGAAAGAGCAAATGATCTGATAAATGATTAAATGAATTAAATGAGCTTGATTAGAGAATTACTGAGTGTGCACGAATCTTCATTTACCTGCTTGCCCAAAACCAGGTGATTACTATAGATTGTGTTTAAAATTACATTATCGCTTGGTGAGACATAAATTCCTAACCTGAAACTTTCTTTGGTCTCCAAGTTTCTAGGCAGAACTTGTTATTTCAGGCTTCCTGGGAAAAACAGACTAATAAACCATCTGATAAGTAGTCCCTTTGACAGCATAATGTGGGCACCAGGCTCTGTTCCAAAGCCTGCTGAAATGAATGAAAAGATTCCCCCTGACCTCCCTGATCCCTGGATTACAAACTAAATGGGTGGCTGCACAGTTTGCCTGGCACAACCCAACAGCAGGGTTTTTCTGCAAGGGGTGGGCTCTGCATGCACCCCTCCCCTCCTCAGTTTGCAGTACTGATCCCGTGGCTCTGTGGTAGATCAGCCCCATGACAGAACTAAAATCTGATTTAGTGAAAAACCAAAAAACAGACAATAAAAGTATACTGGAAGCTGAGTGATTATGAGTGCTGAGATGAAGGTGGAGATACCCTGTGTTAGTAGTTCTGTGTTTGGTATCTCTGATCAGATACATGAAGAACATGATGGTTTACTCTAACAAAATCATTTGAGCAGACAGCTGTCTATGTTTTGAGGGAGACAGGAAGTTTCTTGTTACTGTGACTAGCATGATACAAGTCCTGTAATGCCTCTCTTGTGCCTTGGTGATGCAGGACTGGCATGGTCCTCAGTACCTGCTTGGCAGGTGTCTGCTGCCCTCTTGGTCCTGCAGAGGAATCCTTAGGTTTGCCATCAAAAATATCTAGAATCAGAAGATAAGGACCTGAAGCACATGAGTAGAAAGGTTCAAAGGGAAATGGGAATTTAGAAGTGTGTGCTGTAATGAAATGAGGTGGTTTTGGCCCAGCTGAGCTGTAACCAAAATGCAAGCAGCTGCTTAACTCTTAGAGGAAGAGAGTAGATGGCATAGAGAAATTAATGAAAAGATTGAGAAGGGTAACTGAGAACTGGAAAGGGGAGTAAGCAAAGTAAGATAAGAAAGAAGTCTAATTTAGCAGCTGCAGGTGGTCTCAAATAGGCGTGATCCACAGTACAAAAGAGAAGGAGGTAGACTGGTCCTTGCTTTCACTGTGTTCCTCACAAAGGGGATTGCCCATTTTGTTTCAGAAGAGTGAGGTTGATGCTAAAATCTGAGACACTTCTGAACCTTAAAACCTCTTTGCCATGAGGTGTGGCTCTTCCACAGATTCAGCACCCAGTATCTACCTACCTAACCTTCCCCTGTGCTCTCAGCTGCAGGTGTTACACTAGTTCTCCTGAGCTGTTGGGTTATGTGTGCTGGTAAGTAGCTGCTTCCCTGCAGGCTGGGGCTGTCACTGTTTCAGTGGTGGTGATGGAATGGACAGTGCTGGTGTTTGCCCCTGGTCTGGAATACTTATATAAATTCAGAGAACTAATAATGTAAATATAGGCCTCTTGAGCAGGATCAGCCTGTTTTCCCTTTTAACCAAGAAGGAAAGAAAACCAAGCGTGCTGGGGAGCATGGGGAGCCCAACAGGACTGTTCCTGTTCACAGCCCCAGTCTGTTCTTCTCTGCAAGTCATTATTTGTGCTGGCCTCCAGCATGTCCCTGAGCAGAACTGGAAATGGCTTCTATTTCTTATTTGTGTGGAACTGCAGCTGTACTTGGACAGCTCTTCAAAGTTTTGCTGAACTCCTTTAGGAGTTAAACTGAACCTGAAATAAATACTGCTTCAGCTCCTGCTGCTGAAGAGCAGTGATTTTAAAGCCTGAGTAAGGAAGTATTGCTAACAAAGAGTGACTTCAACCTATAAATGACTTTTTTCCTTTGCATTGCAGCTGAGACATGATCCAATATGCAGGAAAGTCTTCAACAAGAAGCACAAGCCCTTCAGCTCTATGAAGCAGAGGCTGCAGGGAACAGAAATCATGACCATTAAGAAGCAGCACCCACAAAAGGTACAACTAAAATTGAAGCTTATGTGTTATCTTCATATGAAGTCTTTCATCAGTAATGCTATTGTTTTCTCTGAGGACAAAGCCTGGATGTTGTGGATGAGTCTCACATATGTGCTTGACTTGGTGCCAAATTCTTTCCTCCCCCTCCCTGTGCTGCTAGTGTTTGAGGATATTTCCCCATTCAGAAGCCAAACTAGTAGGTGTTGTGACTACTCTGGGCACTTCCAGGAAATGCTCGTGCATGTATTTTAAAGACTATGTGAGTGTCAGCTTGCTCTTAAATCTGAAATAGAGTGTGATCCTGTGTGGTTGGTGCATTAATGCCCCAGGCTGTACCTGATAGCTGCCAGTAGCCCAGATCTGCAGATGGAGCTATGGAGATTCATTGCTGTTGAACTCAAGGGTTTAAAAATGTATTTAAATTTAACTTATTTACAAAGCTGGAAGGCAAAAGGCTTAAGCTCTTACAGGAACAAGGTTCTTTTCATGCATTGCTGGGGAGGAGGGAAATACACATGGACATGCATGCGTGTAATTTTACCCAGAGATGTCAAATTGCTGCTGATTTGGCATCCATGCAGGCTGACATAAAATATCCTTTAAAATCAGTTATGGAAAGAAACAGAAGTGCACAGAGGTTTAAAGCAAGAAGAAGAATCTGTCAAGCAGAGGAGAAGGGAAGGTGTGGGTGATAGTGTCAATTCTCGTCCCTCTTAAGCACCTTTTGGTCTGCTACAGCCTCAGTGTTTTGTTTGAGTGCATTGTTCTTTTACCTATCTTCAGGTGCTGTCAGTAGACAGCAAAGGGTTAATTTGGCTTTTAAAATGCAAATTTCTTTTTCTGTAATATTTTCCTTTCCCTCAGAAAGGAAAAACCCTTACCCTAAGATATTTCTTTCTCCCTTGCAATGGAGAAATATAGTTTGTGCCTTCCTTTATTCCCATTACAGAAACAGCCAGAGAAGAAATCTAATTGGAGGCAGCACCATGAGGATTTTATTAATGCTATTCAATCAGCCAAGCAGGTCTCAAAAGCTCTGAAGGAGGGCCGCTCTCTTCCACCTCCTCTGCCACCAAGCATCAACCCAGGTTTGTGGTCTACTTTATCTTATTGCCGTTCCTGTACTGATCGTTGGTAAAGTGGTGACCGCTTATTATCCACTGCTAGGCTGCGGCTGGCACCCCCTGGCACAACACAATGTGAACATTAATTTCATTTCTTGGCTTAAATTGAGTAGGAATGCAATGCAGAGGTGATGGGGAGGGAGAGAAAGCTAACTGCATCTTTTAAGTTTAAAGGCAGCAAGTTTGAGGTCTGATATTAGACAGTGCTTTGCGAGGAGATTCAGGATGGCTGTGTTCTGGCACAGACTGTACCATGGTGAAATGTACCCCCTCACCATCCAGAAAAACTGTGTGCACACAGGCTTCCCCACTCCCACGTGGTGGTTTTTCTACTGTCCCCTTCCCCACCCAGCTGTGCAGACAGGGGAAGTCATTTAGAAAAAGGCAGGTCTGGTTTACTACTAATATCAGGTGTGGTCTCTGCACAGAGCTCACTATGGTAGAAGTTATGGATCCAAAAAGAGGCACATACAGCCAATATTTCTCATGAGATGTGATTTATGAAATGTGGGAGCAGTCTTGGAAAGGGTCCTAGTGGAGTCCTACCTGCATTAGGAAGGTGGAGGGCAGGAGAGGAAGGGGGGGGTTCTCTGGGCTTACTTCCAGAGCAGGAATTACTGACTGATAGCAAAACCAGCTGCTGTGATTTCAGCCTTTCTCCTCTTGTGATGACAGCGATGCAGTATAAGCAGCTGGACACCTCTTCCTTCCTTGATTGGGATCAAGCTCCTCTCTGAACTTCCACTGGTGAACTCTTTTAATGACTCCTGTCATTTCTTGTCTAACTCATCCCTTTCCTCCTCCCTCTTGGAGGAAACCGACTTGGGCAAGAGCAGTGGTGGCTGTGGAGAAAGGAACTGGAGAACTCTTTAGGAAAGACACGTTGCTGAGGGGCCTAGTGAGGATGTATATCCTGTACTACAGGATATACACCCTGTACTACAGGACTAGAGAGGAAACCCATGGATAATGGGGAGGAGAGAGAGACATTCTCCTTCCTTCTACTCCTCCTCCTGATACAGCCCAGAGCTCCCTGTTCTCCCCCAAAGTGCCAGGTCCCCCTGACAGCTCCCCAAAGCATCTGCTCTGTCTCATCTTCTCCCCTGCATTCAGAACCATTTTGCCCATGCTGCTGGTCTGGAGCTGGCTTTCGGTGGCTGCTTGGGCCACCTTTTCTGGGCTGTTACTGAGAGAAGCAGTTGGTGAAGATACTGTATCTGTAATATTAGGATAAGGACACTTGGGCTGTTTTTTACTGGTCAGTATTGGTCGGGGGGAGAGGTCTGAGAATGGAGAGAGGGATGAAAGGGCTGAATGTGTTGACCCTGAACATTGACTGTTCATTGAAACAGGTAGGACTGCACCAGTGGTAAATGTCACTGAATAGCTTTTACTAGAATAAGAACTGTAACACTCAAAACTGACTCTGTAAAGCACTGCTGTGTGTTCTTCACAGTGCTGCTTCACACCCAGAAACCTGGCTCTTGGATGTGGCTCTGCTGGTGGGGCACAACTTCAGCAGTGTTTTGCCAAAGAGAAATCTTGATGACCAATCTCCAAAAGTCTTAAAATCATTGGGTTTGGCTACTCCAGAACTTCTGAATAATGCTTTTTCTGCAGACTTGTTAATTGTGAGACTGGGGGTGGGAATAGGACAAAGATAATAAAATCTGCTTGTATCAATCCTCAGGGATTTATTTTTGAAAGCAAATACTGTTTGCTGGTTCAATACTGTAAGCATGTATTTTAGGATCCCAAGTGCTTTTCAAGAGGAGGTTTTTGTAGTTCTCCAAAGTTTGTACTTTGGGAGCTGATGGGAACTCACCATGGTCACCTGCTGGTGGTGCCAGGTTCTCAACTGCATCTTGAGTGCTCCAGTAAAGCAAGGCAATCCTTCTCCTGTAGTGTATAAACTGACACAAGTTGTTCCTTTCTTATGGCCAGATTATATTCAGTGTCCACACTGCTCACGAAGATTTAATGAAGCTGCAGCAGAGAGGCACATAAAGTTCTGTGAAGAACAAGCCATCTGCCATGCGTTTGCTGCAAAGACCACCAGACCAGTGGTAAGCACAGTCACACTTGCATTGTCTTGGAGGCAGATTTGCTAAACTGTAGCTTAGGGTGAGTAAAGACCTATATTATAAAAGTTCAGATTCCAGGGAAGTTGGTAAACTCTTAAGATACATGGTGAATACCAGCTAAGGGTTTCCCCAAACTGAAGTCTCTTGTCTCCAGTCATGTGGTATGTACTACCATACCAGAATATGGTAGTACAAGAAAGTTGGTCACCAGTTTCTTCAGACTGTTCCGTGAATGGATTCCAGGGTAACAGCTGTAGGGAAGCGGGAACCTGTCAGCTTTTGCAATACACAGGGAAAATTCTTCCTGTTCTTTCGGGCTCCATGCTGTTGGCAGGTTTGCTGTTCCCTGCAGATGATTTATTCCCTGGTGGCTAGACACAAGGCCAAGGGGCTAAGCCACTTTGGGGATCAGCAAAGTGGAGCTCGTCAGCGGTCTCTTGAAGTGAGCGCCTATTTTATGCAAAAAAAACCAAAGTAATGTAAGCAGTTCCTTTGGGAGGGTACTGATTCTCTTTAATATGTTTGAAAATCTTACTGCTTTTTTACTATGTTGGGCAGGAAAAAAGCGTCCAAGTGGGAGGGGTGCATCTTTTTCCCCATTTCTTCCTGGCACTGCTTCCGCAGCGGTTTGGAGTTTTCACCAGGCTGTTACTGGAGTTCAGTGTGGATTGTGGATCTTCTTTCACCAGGGTAAGCGACCGGTGACTCAGAGGAAACCCCCAGCAGCTGCTGCATTACCCCTTCAGAAGAGAGCACAAGAAGGTGCCAGTACAGACAAACCTAGGCCAGATAGAAGTTCATTCAGCCATGTCTATGTTTTTCTCATAAGAAACTCTGATGTATTTGAGGTAGAGGTTTAGAGCATATCCTGGGCTTTGGAATCCAGTTTTCTGGTAGAATAAAAAAAATTGATCTATTTTTTATTTATTTATTTTGGTTGGTTTTGGCTTTGTTTGGCTGTTGTTTTTTTTCTTTTTCTCAAGCCCAGGATATGAAATCGTAATTGTGTACAACACTTGTCAGAAATGAGAAAGGTCAGAAATTTCCAAGTGGATGTTGTTGATGTTAAATGGCTTGCCCAGTCATTATCCTCATCTATTCTGCTGAGTGCAAAAACAGAGGTTTGCATGCAGGTACTCGGGAGGCACTTCCTAGCCTTTTCAGTTATAGGTCCTCAAACAGAATTATCTATATAGAACTAAAATATGCAGTCTGGGTGTGAGGTTTCTTCTGTCCCATAAAGGACTTCATAACCCTTAATCCTCAATTTTAAGATTCATTCCATCTTCTGTATCATGTCCATTTAGATGAAGCATCAGGCTTTTATGTTGTTTGTTCTATATGAATTTCCCCTTGTTAATTCAGCCTTAAAATTAACATTGCTACATCCCTAAACCAGTTCCCTCTAAGCAGGATACCATATAATGTGTTTGATAGCACCCATTGCTACTGGTAATCATGACCTGTACTCAGTCTATGTTTAGAAGATGTTTTACAAAGTTATTTTAATGGTTATTTGCAGTATAACCTACAAATGATAACACATACTGCTCTTTGTATCAGTGTCTTTGATCCCTACATTTCTGGTTTTCATGTTGAATTTATGTGGGTTATGATGTTTTATTTTAACAATGATCTGCAGAGACCTCTTCAGGAATACTACAGAAACCCAGAAAATCTTTGGGTGCATCGACTGGACAGAAGTCTTCAGGAGCATTTGGGTAAGAAATTATTTCTTTTTATTATTTCAACTTTAGAACATAAAAGGACCTTTTGTGCTTCTGTGTATGTACAACATCTTGTTGATAACGTACTTGATATGCTTGTTGATATACTTGTGTTTGCAGTATGAACTTCTTTGTATTAACTGAAGCAATCAACTGCACTGAAAACTTGCAGAGCTCCTCATGTCCCCAGTATAGGCTGCTGAGAATATTCTTTTGTTGTTACACAGTCTCTAGTTTGGAGCAGCTCCATCTCAAGCAGGCAGTGACTGTTCTTTTGTAATGTGCGTCTTGAGAAGATTTGCTGTTTGATAATGCAAACCTCGGTAGCCCATCTCATGCTCTCACCATGTGCTTCCAAGTGAGGAAGATGCCAGCATCCATTTCAATATGTCAGGATGATGGTGTGGAGGTTCTTTCTTCTCTGTAATGTTTACTTTCCCAGACCATGGTGTTTGGTGCTTCTGCTCTTCAGACCATGCAGTTACAGTGTTTTTCCCACCTTGGGCCATGGAGAGCCATGTCTGAGCAGCAAAAAAAAGCTTCCAGCCCTTTCATAAGGGGTTTGTGGTGCTTTTGTGCAAGGGGATGGCTCAGATGATCAGCATCTTGCACCCCTGTGAAATGCATATGACTGCAGAATATGAGATCCTTGCAGGGAATGTAGCCAAGACGTTCCCTGTAGCTGGCAACACATCTTGAGCCTGAGAGATGAGCTTATAAAAGTGCTTAGAGCGTGGGATGAATACTAACATGCACAAACAGTCTGCTGCAGAGACTCAGAGTCTTTGCAGGGTCCTTTTATGTGGAGTTTTTCTGCCTTGATTGCAGATGGTCGGTGGCTGTTGGGAGGATTGCAATGGGCATGGGAGCGTTCAGTCCACGGTCCACCATTGACACTACTGACTTCCCTGACTTTGCCAGCTACAGCAAAAACTATTGACAGTACCCAGTGGTCTCATCTGGTGTTCCCCACTCCCCTGATTACCTGTGACTGTGTTAACAACTTTTATGGTTATCATGCAAGGTCTTGCAGACCAATAGGGATTTATTGATGCCATCACTGCTCTCAAGGTTTAGCCACTGAACTGTGAAAGTGGGGGCTTGACAGGCTTGGGGAGGAGACACCTCTTTCCCTATGGACACTGGTGAGTCCAGGAATTGCTGGAATTGTAGTCGCAGCCAGAGGCTTAGGACAACCAGTGCTTCCAGCAGGTCCCCAGCACAGACACCCCACACTAGCATCCACAATACAGGACAGAGTTCTTTATGGGAACTGTGGAAGTAACTGGCCTGTGTGGGCTTGTAGGTGCTGAACTGTTGGCAACTGCCTCTTCTGTAAAACTTGAGCATTGCCAGGTGCTTTACAGAGCACTCTGAGCTAGTGAGAGATCAGTTCCAGTGCTACCCAAGAGTGCTTTTTAGGTGAGAAAGCAGATGTGAGAAACTGGCTTCAAGTGGTGCAAATAAATGTTCTCATTCTTAATGTGCCTGGAAGTAGTTTCCAGGATGAGCTGCTCCATCCATAAACCTTCCCAGGGATTATGGTTTAATCTTCTTAGATACTGTGGAGTAAAATACAACAGCAGTTTCTATACAAGTAACAAGTATGTGGCTTGTTGCTGCTTTCAGACTGCAAATGCGCAACAGAAGATAGAGTGGCTGGTCAGCAAGGCTGTGTTAAGGTTTTCCTCTGATGCATTATAGAAGACCTTAAGCAACTCAAATCTTCCAGCACCTCTTCCACCTAAAGTGCTACAGCTACCACATTAAATAAAATCAGCAAACTGAGTTCACTGTCTTCTTTCCCTCTTTCCCCCCAGGCACAAAGCTTCTTATGCTGTCCTTTTTAAAGTTGTGAGATTATTTGTATCAGTTGTTGAAGTGTAATTAACTGATTGGCTACAAAGGGGAGGGACATTGCCAGTGGTGCCCTCCAATGGTTCTAAGAAAATGTAGGGAGATCCAGTATCATGTGACTATTTTTTTCCTCCAAATGCTTTACTTTGATATATTGAACAAAACAAATGAACATTTTTTTAATTTCATGAATGTATTTAATAGAATCTTCCAGTAAACAGTCAATGATAGTGATTGGTAAGTGATAAATGGCCATGTATGCTGTGCATCAGCTTCAAAGCACATCAAGTTCACACTAAAACCAAATCTCGTTTTTGCATTAAAAACTTTAATTACTTTCAGAAATTGATTGATAAGGCAGAAATGTTGTGGAGGCAGATCCCTTCTTATTTTTTGGCCAGCTGATCCTGTAACAGTCTTGGATCACCTTGATAAACTCCCAGCGTTACAACAGGTTGGGTTTCTTTTAGCCCAACAATTTCCAGTAAGGTTTTCAATTAAAATGCATAAGGAATTTTCTTGCCTATTAAATGTTTATAAAGTAAATGAAGATGAGAAGTAGTTGGACACAGCAATAATAAATATCAGACTTTACAGAGTTTCATTAAAGTCTACTCAGACTCTAGCCAATAGTGATCAGATAAATACAGAAAGGATGACACTGAAGCAAGTTTAACTCCTAGAGCTAGACTTCTTAGAAACAGCAGGCACAAAATTAGCCCAAAAACATTAAAGCAGTGCTTAGCCTTTTATTCAATACAGGAAAAAAAGGAAAAAAAAACCAACAAACTCTCCTGGGCACTGTTACCATAATCGCTGTCTTTTACAACCAATTAAATGGATCCTGAAAAGTTAGAGCAAGTTTTACTGTAGTTCTTGTTGTTCTCCCATTATTTTCTGTTTGTGTATATTAGTGTTGGACTTCACAGCTCATTTTCCAGTATCTGATAGAAAAAATAGAGGGAGGAATGGTATGTTGAAGGACAGTACTTTAAAAATTCTGTTAGGAGGAAATGTATCATTAATACAAAGAACATGCCCTCCTATGTCAGACTGGCTGTGAAAAACTCTGGAACTAACAGCAAGTCACTGGTTAAGAAGAGTCCCAACAGCAATAGTTGGTAAATAAAACTGAAGGAAAAAGGAATGAGCGTAGCTTCTGATAGGGGATGGGAACTGAACACTAGCAATACTTCTGTTTACATAGAGGCTGCAGAGTCTTTTGTTCTATGTAGTATAATTTTAGCTCCTTATTTCAGCAGGTTTACATGGCTCCTTTTTTTTTTATATATACAAAACGATTAGTTTTTTTTTTTGTATGAGACCAAATGTTTATTAAGTTTTGCTCTTTTATGGTATCAGTTATAGTAATTTGTTGTTAACCACCACACGTTGCTCCACTTCTACAGATTTTTCAAGCAGAGTTCAGATACAAGAGTACTTTTATCTCTGTCAGGGTGTGAGTCAGATCTTTCTGTTCCGTTTCTTAGCAGTCCATCCTACGTTTCCCATGCTCCTCTCTGCCCTTGCATCCTACTCTCCCACTCAGAGGAGGGATGTGCCAGAGAGGAGGGAGGACCGACCACAGGTTGCGCTGCCTTCTTCCTCCACCATGCCTCTGGCTGCCTCTCCCCTCACTGGTGCTGTTGCAGCCCTGCGTGAGCCAAAGGCAGTGCCACCAGATGTCCTGCAGCTCTTGCTACCTTCTCCACTGTCACTGCCTGAAGCCATGCCTGCCTGCCACTGCTGCATCCTCTTGGACACCTCAGGTGAGTCCAGGGAGACTTGCTGCTGTCTCCTCACCTCTCCTTTAGCACTGGCAGGGCTATGATCTTACCACCACCAAAGGCAAACTCGCTCTTTCACCAGTGAGGTATTCAGGTGCACAACAGGAAGGTCTACTGAGCCCAAAGTATTTGTTTGCTCAGGAAAAATAAAGCATTCTTGAACCTCAGCTACTGCTGGCCTCCCAAGAATGCTCACAGAAGTCCCCCTGACAAAAGCTATGGGAAAGTCCAGCCCTACTCTGAAGTATTAGATGACTTAGGGGATCTCCTGAGTTGTGAGAATTTTGAAACAAAACCATTTTTCTGCAAACATAACCTTTTGAAATAACTTCCCTTCCTTTGTGATGAGACATCATCAGTTTCATCTGCATTTACGATGTCAAGAATTGGAAAAAGAGATTTGAATGGACTGAAGGGATAAATCTGTACTGTTGTTACACATCTAAGGTTTGGATCTGTGTAGCTGTAGACACCATCAAGTGCTTCTTAAGCATTTTAATATCAAAGTGGTTATTTTCTTCTTATTTGAATGAGACTTGTTAACCTGTAGTTACATACAGTAAGCATCTCTCACCAACACATCATCAGGCAGCAGTACCTCCCTTAGCAGCTCAGAGCTCAGGCACCCAGCTGCAGTCAAGCAATTGAAAGAATGTGGGCTCCAGTCTAGCTCAGTATTTGCATAACATTTTCATTTTAACATCACATTTCAATTCAAAGACAAGTATTTCTGTAATTAGTTACACCTCTTACAGAAGTGCAAACCAAAATGACAAAATGTCTATTAGCAGTATATGATCGAGCAGTGCTACAGAACTTGTGGGTTTTTTTGTTGTGTTTGTTATCTGATTGGTTTTTTTTTTGACAAGTACATAAGCTTAGATGAAGCCAAGTGAATTCAATTTGCATGAACAAGGAAAACTATGAATTAAAGGAATATGCACACAACTTTCCAAGCCCTGATGAAAATACAAGCCTAGCTGTAGAATGTGCATTTAACTGTTTGCAACCTTTTCCCCCTATTCTGGAACTTGTAGTTTAAATCACTGCTAACTGGGCATGACTGTGCAGCACCTGCTCTGCCTCCTGCTGTTGTCATTACACGAATGATTTTTAAAATTCCTTTTGGCTTGTCTTATGCCAAAAGTTTTCATAACAAAAAGTACTGCTCAGCAGTGTCACCAAAGAACACACTCCCGCATGAACTGCAGTAATACATTTCCTTAATCCAAGTACTGATAACATTGTAACAATATTCAGATCATTGTAGTTCACGTACAATGTCACTGTAGTTCATTAACAGCAATCATTTAAAAAGCATTTCTGATTTGAAGCTGTCTAGAAATATTCCTGTAATTAATGGGGGAGAAGAGACCATGATTTGCGCTGTATTTGTAATGATCATTAGGTACTATTAACTCTTTCTTGATTTAATGGAGGAGTAGCTCTTGGGGTTTGAGAATTTACTCTGATTCAGAAAGTGTCTGTTTTAGTTGCAACAGAATCCATTTAGTAACTGTGTTATCCACTAAAACTAGGATTATTTTTATATTATTTATAATAATGGGTTAAGCAAGAAAGGCAACCGAGAAGGACGTGGCTGGTTTGTGGAGTTGTGTTGGTTTTGTTGTTGTTTGTTTTTAATGTCATCTACTGGCAGATTCGGCTTTTGCTAGTTCATGCATCAGGTTATAGGTCACACCAACACACCGTCAACTGGAAATCTACATGGACAATTCACCCCAGGAAACAAAGCTGGAAGAAACAAAGGCTGGAAGCCCA